CCCAGGCAGCTGCTCTGCCCTGGCAAACCTCCCCGCTCACTGCAGGCTGCGCGCTGCAGCTCTCGCTAAGTCCTCTTTTCCGTAAGACAGACCCATTTTAGGATCAAGATCCCCTCACAGGCATCTTCTGCCCTCCAAAACCTCACCTTCAGCATCTCTGATGAAAACAGATCAACAAAAACCTGCTTCCCTCTTAAGCTGACGGTATCCAGGACCTCCTGTGTCACCGCTAACCCCTTAGAGAACAGCCCTGAAAACCTCAGGTCACTATTTTTGTGCTGCTGCTATTTATGACACCAGACGAAGTTCGGGGAGGGTTGGAGACTTCCTCCCAGGGGAAGTGACAAAACCCGTGTGGTCTAGTGCCCGGCGAAGCCACCCCCGGGCTGCTGGGGCCGTGCTCCTCGCCCGGGGACAAGGCACCACCGAGCTCCCACTCCCTCCTGGCAGCTTAGCTAGAGCCTGCGCTGTGATGGGACTCTCCAAGGTCGGAGCAGCACAAAAATGTAACACGCTGGGCTCCTCAGGCTAGTGCTTTATCCCAGAGCACTGAGGGTTCGTCCTTAATTAGATTTGATTGCTTTCCCTAGCCATGTGATACAGCTGTTATTCTCCTTTGGTCCCCTATGGTAGTGGGAGGGCTTTCCTGCAGGTCGTGTCTCAAAGCGAAAGGCAGAAGGCTGGCAACTGCAGCCAGGCGTATCCATACGCGGGAGCGAGAAAGGACCAGAGAGCAAGAGACGGTGATGGGCATGGCCTGGTGGGCGGCTTCTCCCGGGCACAAGCCTTTCCGGAGACGCAGACCCAGATTTTTCTGCCAGGAGATCTCTGCTGTTTTCTTCAGGGGAACACAGAGTTGACTCCCACCCTCGTACATGAGCAGGGCTGCATGGATGACCCCTGGGATCATCAGCATTTCTCCTAGAGGAAACAGCCTGCAGCAGCCTGGCTGGGTACCTGGGACCCGAAGGGCTCCTCAGCGCTCCCGCGGTGCTGGGCACCGAGAGGGGCGCGCGGCCGGGGCTGCCCGCCTCCTCGCCCCGGTAGCCGCGCCGGGGAGGGAGGCGAGCGGGAAATGATGCGGCTTCCTTTCTGTGGGCGATCCTTGCGTGAGTCCAGCTGGGGCAGCGGGCCCGTGACCTGGCTGCAGCCCCGCAGCAGCACAGCCCTGCTGGGGTCTTCTGGATGGGGCCCGAAGGCAAAGCCCGGGCTGCCTGCGAGCCCTGGGCAGCGGGCCCGTGACCTGGCTGCAGCCCCGCAGCAGCACAGCCCTGCTGGGGTCTTCTGGATGGGGCCCGAAGGCAAAGCCCGGGCTGCCTGCGAGCCCTGAAGGGTCCCAGCACAGGCAGCTGCTCTGCCCTGGCAAACCTCCCCGCTCACTGCAGGCTGCGCGCTGCAGCTCTCGCTAAGTCCTCTTTTCCGTAAGACAGACCCATTTTAGGATCAAGATCCCCTCACAGGCATCTTCTGCCCTCCAAAACCTCACCTTCAGCATCTCTGATGAAAACAGATCAACAAAAACCTGCTTCCCTCTTAAGCTGACGGTATCCAGGACCTCCTGTGTCACCGCTAACCCCTTAGAGAACAGCCCTGAAAACCTCAGGTCACTATTTTTGTGCTGCTGCTATTTATGACACCAGACGAAGTTCGGGGAGGGTTGGAGACTTCCTCCCAGGGGAAGTGACAAAACCCGTGTGGTCTAGTGCCCGGCGAAGCCACCCCCGGGCTGCTGGGGCCGTGCTCCTCGCCCGGGGACAAGGCACCACCGAGCTCCCACTCCCTCCTGGCAGCTTAGCTAGAGCCTGCGCTGTGATGGGACTCTCCAAGGTCGGAGCAGCACAAAAATGTAACACGCTGGGCTCCTCAGGCTAGTGCTTTATCCCAGAGCACTGAGGGTTCGTCCTTAATTAGATTTGATTGCTTTCCCTAGCCATGTGATACAGCTGTTATTCTCCTTTGGTCCCCTATGGTAGTGGGAGGGCTTTCCTGCAGGTCGTGTCTCAAAGCGAAAGGCAGAAGGCTGGCAACTGCAGCCAGGCGTATCCATACGCGGGAGCGAGAAAGGACCAGAGAGCAAGAGACGGTGATGGGCATGGCCTGGTGGGCGGCTTCTCCCGGGCACAAGCCTTTCCGGAGACGCAGACCCAGATTTTTCTGCCAGGAGATCTCTGCTGTTTTCTTCAGGGGAACACAGAGTTGACTCCCACCCTCGTACATGAGCAGGGCTGCATGGATGACCCCTGGGATCATCAGCATTTCTCCTAGAGGAAACAGCCTGCAGCAGCCTGGCTGGGTACCTGGGACCCGAAGGGCTCCTCAGCGCTCCCGCGGTGCTGGGCACCGAGAGGGGCGCGCGGCCGGGGCTGGACACGGGCTGCGCAGCGTGGCAGCGTCTTCGC